AGGGCATCATTTTGGACTACAGCCCCTTCTGTCCTTTGTTTGCCTATGTCCTGGGCAATTACTCTGTTTCAACATAATTGCAGGCAATTAAGACATTTTTCAGCAAATCAGCTTCATTCATCTCTTGTTTTTCTCTGTTTTAATTAAGTAATTGCTGTATAATTTTACAATACACTAGCTTGAGAATGCAGAGATATTCTTGTGGCGCAGAAATTTTGTGGGGGAGGAACAAGGAAGATAAGTAATGTCAGACATCTGGATGTGGAAAGACAGGTTCCTTTCCACAGTGTGCTCACTAAAAAGAAAAGGTTTGTTCTTGATGAAAAGGATGCATGCTCACCATAACTTTCTCACAAAGGATGAGTAGCATTTATGATTTAAAACACACCCAAAAAGCAAAATTAATACAGGTCTACTATTATATTTCCAGAATAATCATGTTATGTGGAATAACTGGAAAAAGAATAGTATTGTGGAATAAATAACCAAGCCTAAAAAACACCCTCTTACGCAAGCATTTCTGAAAATCTAGACCTAAAGCTAATTAAAACTACTTCATTTACATTTTGGAAATTTATCTCAATTTCAAAAATAGGCATCAGCAAACAAACACCCATTCCCACCTCCCAAAAGAACCCACCAAAAATGCCAAACCAAAAACCACCACACCAATCAAACAAACAAACAAAAAAAAAGTAAAAGCACAAAAAACACCAAAAAAACCTAGTCAAACAAAAAAACCCTTAGAGCAATTTTTAGGAGAAAAAATTAAAGGGGATGTGAGCTTTCAGGCAGAGAAATATTTGTGGTTTTTAATTTTTAAAAAATCCATCACAATTGACCAATCACTATAGGAGCTTGCAACTCTATTTTAATATCCCATAACTCATTGTCTTCATCACCCAAATAAAGACCACTTCTTCCAAGGGTATTATCAATTTCAGCCTTTCCCTTTTTCTCACCAGGATATTGCCATTGGTGTGTCAAAAAGAATTATGCTTACCTGTGACACCCTCTGCCAGCAGATCAGACATTTTGCAGCACAGTGACAGTAATTTAGTAGTGTAATCATCTAAAAGCATTACCTAAACATATTATAAAAAAAACACACAAGTATTTAGATAAATTAATCAGCTATATTAAACCCATGTCATTTCTTCAACAACGTGCCATAAAAGTTTGAAGCCAAAACTATTTTATTATTCTATTTTTTTCATTACCTGCATACACCAACATTGCAGGGGGAAACTAATCTCAGAAGGCAGCTCCTAATGCACAGGATTTCCAAAGAAAAGCTCAATCTTAAATGTGAGCTTTGTTCCCCCTACTCATAGTAGAAAGTACTTCGAAAGTTTCACTTGGACACAAGTCTTTTGAATTCCTGCTAATTTACCCATGGCCTGCTCAAATATATCTGTATTTAATTTAAAACTGTTTTATAGCTTAAGCAGTTCTAACTGCTAAATACTGTTTCACGTGTACTACAGAGCAGTGTAATTTTTGAAATTAATGCAGTACAAGTCTTTCAAAAGTAAAGTGAAGATAAACACAGTTTCTAATTTTTCTTCACATTTAATTAAAAAGAAAAAGAGACTACTAGCCATTTGTTCCTCCTCTACTAGCCTCTAGATTTTTCAACATGTATTCTTGAGAGTTCTGAATTATCAAAAGTAAAGTCTAATACTTGGACAGAAAACAATCTTGAGTGAAAATGCCAGATGTTTATTTTATGTATTTGTTCTCTACTCAGCAATACAGATTTCTCGTTCAAGTGATGACAGAATTCTTATAAAAAATGTAACAAAATTGTACCTTCCATTCTTCCTCTTTGGTGAAGTCATCAAATACTGCTGATTTCAGCTCTGTAAGTAGATACAGTTTATCAGTTAGAGGAATCAAACTGTTACTAAGAAAGAAAAAAATAATTCACCCATTTAGACTCATATGTTCAGAGCCCTAAAAAGAAAAAAAACCCATACTGATACATACCTGCACAGAATTCTTCACCACAAACCATTCCTGCCTGTTTCTAGGACTGTACACAGGTGTAATAACAAATTTTTAACCACATGAAAATTTTATTAACATCCATAATTTTCTGACAACACTCCTGCCAGTTAATTTGTCTTTAGCATTACACAGAATTCCTTTTAATAAACTGAGTGTCCAACAACCTTGTCCAAAATCTCAAATATTCTATTTTTTCTACAATATTTGCCTATAAAAGACACTGGAATATAGAAACACAATTCAGTTGTCTTGAACCTCATTTCTGCAATTAAAAAACAGAAGTCAGTTTTCTCCCATACTAAAATGAAAGTTTATTTTAAGCTATCAGTGTACCAGACACTGTGTACTTGCCCCCGCACTATTCCCACTGTTATTTTGCCCTCAACCTGCAGCTGCTTCACCCAAATAATTGGCCTACAATGGTTTGTAGGCTTTCAAAATAATTTTTCTCCTGCAAGCATTCTGCATATACCAAAACAAAACCCAGGTTAGCACTCCATTTTTGTCCAGGCTTTCATTTTCTGCTCACATATTTTATACCAACCATACACCCTAACTACCTTTCAGATTTTGTCTTCTCTGAACACATTTAACTACTTTACAAAGGCTTTTTTCCTTCTACCTTTACTTCACAATCTAGGAAAGAGCTATACACAATGCTGACAGAACAGCAGGCTGCCAAATCCCTGTGTGGAAAAAAGAAGCAAACCACACCTCGGCAAAATTAATAACCCATTTATAACACACTTCCTGAAGAAAGGACTGTTAAGCAAGCGATACAAAAAACAGAATTGCTAAAATGCTGAATCACCTACAAAAGTTACTATAGCTATCTGTGGCTACTATTATATGTGTCTACAAAACAACTTAAAGTTGTGAAAAAAATATTAGAAGACTGAATTCCTCATGGAAAGGACTTCATTTAGAGATTAACTATATAGAGCAGCTCTCTGTATTTAATTATTTTATCCACAGGAACTACTGTCTCCTAAATACAGGTAGCTTTCTTTGTCCTCATAACTGTGGGCTTAACTGACAACAAACGTCTGTGAATTAACTTTTCCACACACTTCTGCTTCAATTCCACACACCACAGGTGTAACTTCTATGCCTATTTACAGAGCAGGAACAAGATACACATTAATACAGCTGCTACATAAAGCATCAGCATCGCTATTTTCAGACAAAATGTGAATCAGCCTTAACAACCCCCCCCCCCTAATGTTTTACTGAAACAATAGGAAGCAGCAGTTTATGGTCTTCAAGTACCCATTTTAAAAGTGCCAGACAAGGTCTAAAACTTAGTTCATCAATTTTCATTATTGTCGTAGTCTTGGAAAGACAAGAGCAACTAGATGACTAACAAAGCATTCATTTCAGAAGTTCCTCATAACCAAGCTTGTAATATAAATGTTTTATTATTCACACTGCTTCGCAGTCACTCTAATCTTTGCTCCTCACACTGCCAACACCATTTTCAAGTCTTTATCCCCCTTAATGATAGACTTATGCTTTGATCAATTATTCCCTTTTAAGGTCCAAGTCTTCTATAAAATATCTCAGGACAAAACATTGACCTTACAGTGACAGGCATAAAGAGCAAGTCGGCAGGATAAACAAAGCAGCAAAAGTGGGGATTTCTAAGGATTAAGTTTTAAACAGAAGTATCATACAGGAATGATGTATCATACCCTTCTCATACAGGAAGGGTACAGGTGCCAGCAATTAGAACTGAACTCCAGAGGGACAGTCTGCTTTTCACTTCTAGTGACACAAACAAACAGCTTTCAGGTGGAAGCACAGGAGGAAAACGAAAACAAGACAGCAGCAGGACCCCGCCATTTCAGTGATAGTCGCCAGGCTGGCTGAGCAGCTCATGGAGTCACAACCCCAGTACAATTAAGCCCGGGATGAGGTGGCTCCTAATGCCTTTTCCCCAGAGGTCTCCACTACCTGAAATATTACCAGCCTTTCTACTCCAGCAAGGAAAGGAGCAGTTACAACTTCATTTTCTGTAACAAACACCAGCAGAACCTGCTCCAAAACAAGGAGATAAAAATCTGCAGTTCACTTGTAAGCCTACCTGGGAACACCCTCAGCTTTTTCTACCGAAAACCGTGAAGCCAAACACAAAGTGGGAAGTGCCTCTCCGTGAGAGAGCCCCTTTGGGCCCGGAGTGGCTCCGAAAGTAGTAGCTCGGAAGTAATAAAGAAGTGCATGAAGAGCTGACTTAAGTTTAGGCTCTTCAAAAGCCCGTCAGGCGGGCTGTATCCTACAGAGCTCACCCTTATCTCGGAAAAAGGCATAAGTGTCTCCGCAGCCCTGTCACTGCGGACACCTGCGGCAAAGTCGCAAGCCGGGGCAGCCGCCTCCCACCAGGGCGCCGAGTCACCGCCTCTAGCAGCCGGTAGAAGCCGCCACCCACAGCTTTCACCGGGCACGGCTGCTCACCGAGCCGCCCGGGCCCGGGCCCGAGCCCAGCCCCGCTCGGCCGCCTCAGCTCCGACACGCAGCGCGGCTCCGGTCGCGTCGGGAGCGGCCCCGGACTCCCCCTGGGCGGGCACTCCCGGTCCCACACACGGAGCTACGCGGAGCCGGCGGCTCAGCGGCGGAGGCTCCCGGCCGGCCCGCGCCCACCGAACAGCCCCAGGGCGCTCCCGCCGCGGGCCGGGGAAGGAGCCCCACAGTCACTCACTCTGCCACACGAAGCTCTTCAGCCCCCGCACTGCCGGCGCCATCTTGCTGCCAGCCCCGCCTGGCAGCGCTGCCTTCCCCACCTCTTTAGGGGCGGCGGCGGAGGGCGCAACCCGATCTCGGGCGGGGCGGCTCCTGCCGGCCGGGGTCAGCCCCTCAGGAGCCCGGACCTGCCCGTGGGGAGCCGGGCCCTCTTCGTCTGTCGCTAAGGGCTCCGAAACTGCCACTAGGGAAGTGCCCGGTGACGAGGGCTCGCCCCTCGAGGAAGGAGCCTCCTGCTCAGGTGAGCCCGGGACGGCGGGAGCCGCTCCCGGCCCCCGAGGCCGCCCTTGGCGATGTGTGGGGAGCTGGAGATCGCTCGGCCGGGGTGGCTTCCGAAACCTGCCCCGGTCCCGGCTCCTTTTGGGGGAAAACCGGGGCTCACTCACAAAAGCGGCCCCCAGGTTCCCGATGACATGCGTGTAAACCACCAAGGAAAACACTGTCGGGTTGTAGAATGATAGCGGCTGTTGATGCCTATAATCATCTGTCGGAAGTTACAGTTCGAAGACATTAAGTCGTGTTCTCAAAGGGGAACCAACAGCCGGAACAAATACGCAGGAATGCGAGGAAAATTTCTCTTTCTACAGCGCCAGGTATGAGGAAGAATAGTTAGTTCCCAGTCTGCATGGCAGTGTACTGTTTAAAGAGGAAGGCATCATACCCCATGCCCTCAAGGATGAGAGCATCATTCCCGACAGAAAAGAAGATCCATGTGAGCGGGCAAAAATGCAGTAGACAATGAGCCGAAGACAAAATTTCACTTAGTTTAATTGTTATGTGAGTTGTATAAACCATACAGACTCTGCACCCTGTGGGAGAATGGAAGAGACCCCCAGGAGCCTGCGGCCAGAAGCCGAGCGCTGTGGTGGTCCCGAGTCACCAGGGTTTGGTGGCCGCTGTCCAGCTGTGATCCAGCGGGGAGGAGCGGCCAGCCCAGCGCGACCTGCTCTGGCCCGGGGAGTGCGCCTACAGTGACAGCCCCGCTGGGAACAGGCTGGGCATCGGCCTCAGCTCGCCCCCGTGCGAAGCTGCAACGAAGTTCTGACAAGATGTGCAGCACAAAAGGTAAATCATTAGCGTTTACTGGAGTGCTTCTCAGCTGCCTAGAAATGGTAAGTGCCACTTACTTGCTGTAAAGCTATTTTCGCGATGATACTGTATTCTTCAGAAAAGTAAACTAAAAGTTAGGGTGGAGCACTATCAGATATCCGCTTCCGTATTGGTATTCCATTACTATCGCAGTGTTGCACTGTTTACATATGACTGAAAAGTAATTTTGAAGCGTGTCAACAACTGCAAACAGGATTAATAGGCAGGTTCAGAGGGAAAAATGCAGAAGCAGTACAATCTGCATACCTGTACCAAATCTCATTGGTTGTGTACTCTATCCATGCTTAAAGAATCTGAGCAAATACATCATACCAGTAAAATGTGTTCATAAACATAATATTATAGCTTGTTGTTACTAACATTCTTAGATTTAAAATTTTCAAAATAAAATATGTTACACTGTATTTCTAATTTTGTTACATCTTCCTTTTCAGATATTTTCAGCAAACACAGGTAAATACTCAAAACAGTTTTTTGGTTTTGCCTGCCTAATTTTGAATGGGTCTGAAGAGAACACCCACTTGTGATTTTTAATAAAATATTCTATAAGTTCTAGCAGCTTTGTAAACAAAAATTGTTTCATGTTTGATTCAGGATTAAAATACTACTTTTGATGTCTTTATAAATTTTAAATCTCAGTTTTAGGAGTCACAATTCTGTTGGACACTCATGCAAATATTCAGATATGTACCTTGGTACTAGCATGAACCAGGGAGAACACTCAGATGAACAAATTCTGTTGTTCATTATACAACTGTGGTACAAATAGGATTCATAGTCCCATATATGCAGCCAATTAATTGTTGTATATTTTAATAATTAAAAAAAAACCAAAAGAAACATCAAAAGAAAATTCCATTACATTCCCTCAAAAAACCAAAACAAAAACAAAAACAAAAAAAATACCAAAATAAAAACCACACCAGAAGAAGCACAATGTCCTATGCACAAATGTTTCCAAGGTTTTGGAATTTAATAGACGGCTACTCAATTAAACATTAACATCTGCTCTTATTCCCAGGCACTTTCTTATCAGTTTCAGTCAGACACCCTCTTTTGCCCCTTTTGTAGAAATGGTTCCAGATATTCTGTCTGACCACACCTATGGGTCATTTGCAGATGGGTCTTTCAGAATCATGGAGCAAAATACTGTACTATATTTTTGGTTTGTTTTGTTTTATAATATTGTATTTTGTAACAATTCATAAAAATTTCTGTGCAGGAAATCGTCATCCAGGTCTAAGTCTTGCTAACAGTCCAGCAAAGAATATCTAGCTAACAGTCCAGCTAGAGAATATCTATATGTAGATGTTAGCACTTAGCTGAGCAGCTGTGTATAATACTTGCTCAGGTCTCCCAAATCCCACATGAGCTGCTTTGCTATGAATGAGTTTGCCACAAGGTACCTACTTCATCCCAAATACTTCTACATTCATTTTCTTAATTTTATGTGGGATGTACCTCCATTTTATCTTTTTTCTCTTCCAGTGAGTGTTTTGCAGCCTTGCAACATGTGTAATTACTTTATAAATGCTGATTCTAGTGTGAAAATCCTGATTTCTGAGCATAAATTACTCATGGCTAAGAAATACATTGATGTAGTTAGTTTTGTCTGCAGTACACAAGAGCTCTTTTTGAAGGGCAGAGTATGACACCAAAACATTGTTACAATATTTGATTGGTCACGTTATTGAATACCTAAATATATCTGCTCTGAGCAAGGGGTTAGGTGATTTCCCATGATCCCTTCCAGACTAGATTATTGTATGTTGCTTTGATATGGAAGTGCCTATGGTCCAGCATCCTATCTCAGACTGCCTTGTATAAACATGCACTTCTTCTTTGTATATATTGCTTTGTATATAGCTTTAGTTAGTAATAGAGTTAATTTGCTCTGAAGGAGAACCTCTCAGTGAAACCTAGGTTAAATAATGGTCTTACAACAGTGATTTCAGAGTATTAGAGTATTTTTATGGAAGGATGAAGTTTGGTCTAGAGTATTGCAAGACTCTGTATTTTGTTAATGTTCATTGAAAGTCCATTAACTTAAATTTTAATAATTCATAGAAAGTGTAGACTATTTGTCCTACATTTTGTCTTTGTGAAATGTTCAGAGCAGGCAGCGTTCCAGAGGACTGTGTTTTCCCACTTCAGTCTATCATTATTTCCATTGTAGCTCCAGATATACCTGTTATTGACCAAGCTTATTCAAAACTTAGCAACAGTATCACAGTGGAATGGAGAGCAGTACCTGGGGCTACTAATTACATGCTGACTGCACAAGATGGAGATTCCTTTGTTGAAACTATAGTGAAAAATTCTCCAGGCACAGTGACGGGACTGAAGCCTGCCACCTTGTACCGAATCACTGTCAGATCTATAAATTCAGGAGGAAAAAGCCAGCCTTCACCTTTCAGAAAAGTAAAAACAGGTGGGCTTTCAAAATTTTATTTCAAGTTCAATAATGTTATTATAACATAAAGCATTCATGCATGTACCAGTCCTGAATTATTATAATCTTTATTTTAAATTGTACTGATCACATTCTTCTTTCAGTTTTTGAGGACTAGAATTCAGCCATCTGACTTAATGACCAGGACAAAAGTCTGAATTAATGGTTTACTTTATGATGGTACAGTGAGTTAAAAGTTCAGTTGGGAGTTTCACTAGATTTTATATGAATATATGTATTTTACTTTAACAAAAGGCATAACTTGAAGGAGTAGAAAAAATGAAGAAACAACCAAAAGTATAAGATAGTAAGACAATGTGAAACTTAGAGGAGAGGAAATGCAATATCTTCTTGGTGATTTTCATTCTTTAACACATGCAGCCCTTCTCACTTTCTGTACAACTTTTGTTCATTTCACAAAAAGTGCAATACAAAAATTGATGCTCCAAATCACTTTCCAAATTTGTTCTGTTGATTTTGCATTAATTTCTTTTTTCTGTTTTGTTGTCACTGAATTTGTCTCTCAGGGTTAGTGATTGTTCTTTCTGTATATTCATTTCAAATTTGACCTTTTCAAGCTGTCCTACTGAAAAACCAAAAGCATAATATTGCTCTTTCTCAACAGTCCTGGCTGCTCCGGTTCTGTCTGTTCGTTCTCCGAGTTGTGACTCCATTGCAGTGAGCTGGAAAGCTGTGCACATGGCAGCTGGATTCTCTGTGTCACTCGTGAGATCAGACGGTTTGGGCAGAATGCTGAAGCAGAACACCACCAATACCTCCTTGATATTTACAAATCTAGATCCAGGAACTCTCTATACTATCAAGGCTTATGCCTGGAATGCCAATGGAATGCCTGGAGATGATTTCACATATAACCAAAGAACAAGTAAGAAATTTTCTTTTCTGAAACCAAGTCAGCATTCTAAGAACAACAATACCAGAAAGTATTTATTTGTATGTATGATTGTATTATGTTTTTCAAAGAAATCTACTGAGTAGATTTTCAGATCATATTTTTGCCCCATCTAAAAGTTTATGAAAGCTCAGATGACACAGCTATGTTTTGTGAACATTACTGAGGCAAAGATAGCAACTGCTGTCACTAAAGTTGTACTTAGGACAGGTCTGGATAAGGGTTACACAAGCTCAGACTGATTTTGAGGATTTTTCTAATTGTGAGAAGCAAATATTCAAATAAGCAGGGAGTTTCAGCCATGGTCAACTAGAACTATTTCTTTTTAAAAATGTAATTTTAACATAAATGAGGGTAAGATTTGCACTAAAAAATGCATTTAGTTTGCAAGTTGTGAAAGAGATCATGTCTGTAGGCCATAATCTAAGTTATATTTATGTGTTCCAAATTGATATACCATAGGTCCTAATACACCAGTGGATGTTAAAATAGCTTTCAATAGTGGTGCTTTAAGAGCTGTTGTCTCTTGGATGCCAACAGAAGGAGCTCTAATTTACAGTGTCACAGTCTCCAGTGGACTCCTGAAACTGAGGTGTAACACATCTTCTGCTTCCTGCATGGTGCCATCCCTTCAGTGCAGCTCTGAATATTATGTGTCTGTCACAGCATACAATGATGCTGGATCCAGTGAACCTACTGATGCAGTAAGCTTAAAAACTAGTATGTGTCACTGATTCTTATGTAGTTTATGGCATTTTAACATCTACTTCTTTAATTTCAAATGTAAATGAGCCCATTGCAATTCACAGGTGATTCTGAAATAGTTCTGCTTTTGACCTTAGTTCATGAATCATGTTATTTACTTTTCTATTGCAGGGGTAAGAGCCTAAACATTCTTCATATTTCTATGACAAAAACTTGCAGTGGTGGAACAAAGTTGTGATGAAATGACATTAAGGACTGCCTCTGAGCATAGAACTGTTCTGGACCACATCAAGTTGTTAGTTAGAAAGGGGGTCAACAAAAGCACATTTAGCCAAGTAACATCACCAGACTAAATTAAGAAACCATCAGCCATATTCAGGACAATAGCTTGCTCAGTTCAGCTGCAGCACCGCTGCCATGTCAGAAATTGTTGTTTCCTGACCTGTTAGATGAACTGCCCATGTAATCAAAATCTAAATAATTTATTTTTGATTATATACTTCTTCAAATACACAACATTATTTACTTAGTTATTTGATGTAACCTGCTTCATTTTGAGTTTTGATAGGAGATCAATCATGTGAGCAACTCTGTGGTGTATCTAACAGCCTGAGAGTGCCTTGTGCAAGAGACAGCTATTAAGCTGTGGGCTGTAATCTCAGCCAACACTACTTCAGCTAAATCACATATATTCATTCTAATAGCAGCAAGCTGCACTTTACTGAACCAGAAAGTAAGTAAATGTTATTTAAACAAAAGCCATGGAGTTTGCAGTTTAATATGGCATTTTGGAATGCCAACAGAAAGGAAACCTAAGCAAAGGACAGTTCTACTCAGACACAGACAGTAAATTTTATACAAAAATATAAAGAGTTTTCACATATAGAGGCTTTTGGACGCCAACTGCTATTCATACTAGTATTCCAATTACCACCCAAACCTTCTATTTGTGAGCACACACTGTGCCAGTTCATTTTGAAATAATGCCTGGTGTCACTTCCTGGGGGCTCCTTAAGCAGATGTCTCTGTAAAACATGATGGTAACATCTATTTTGTTCTGTAAAAATCATACCTACTTGTTATCTAAATATAAGCAGCAACCTCTGTAAAGGCAGCTAAGTTGCTGTTTTCTTGATCAATGCAGAGCAATTGTTCAAGCTGAGTAGAATAATTCTATGTTCTATAGAATTCAATATATCCCTGATTTTCCTTTATTCCCCAAGAGTATAACTTCAAGAAAGAAAAAAATAATTGTATTGAGAATTTTTTTTATGTTTGTTTTTTTTTTCAGTTCCTTGTGCACCAGTAAACATATCAATTCAAGAGGATGAGCCAGGTCATTTACTGGTATCATGGTCTAGCGTCAGTTTGGGTCATTATTATGTGGTTTTTGTCAAGAGTGATGATGGTTTGGAAGTGCACTGCAACACATCACATACTCAATGCCATTTCCAGTCGGACTGTGGTTTCACTTATTTCATTAGTGTCTTTGCATATAACAAGGCAGGACAGAGTCCTTCAGGTGATGTACTCAATTACACTACTGGTAAGTAGCCATGTATTCCTGCAAATTCATTCGGATCCTTTAGCTGTATTTATGGTAGAGGTGTTTTGACATTTTTATGGGAAGATAATGACTTAAACTTCCATTTTTATTCAGGTTTTGGGCATAACACACAAAGGTTAGCAGAGAAAAATAAACAGTTCACATTGCAATTAAATTTAACTTGCATAGTCAAGTGCAACAACATGCATACAAATTTGAAAACAGTTTAACAATTCAGAATCATCAGGCTAGGACATATGAATAACACACAGACCTGGCATAACATTTGAACTCTAGTCCTGTCTGGGTTTGTGTTGTTTTGTTTGATTGTTTTTGTTTGGTTTGTTTTGTTTACTTTTACCTCTGGAAGAGTGTACCAAAGTCTTCAACTTCCTCATAGGGAGTTTTCACACTTGGAAAATGAAAAAAATAGTAAGTTCAATGGGAAATTGAGAAGAACATTGTTATTTAACCTCTAGACCTTCCAAATTTTAAAACAAGAATATGCATGATTCATGTGTCTGACATAAACACTAGTATGTCCTCTATCGATTTGGAAGGAGTGGTACTGAATTAATTTAAAAAGTAAATCTGGGATTCGTTAGACTGTTTGCACAGTACTGGTCAACTTTGGAGAAGACAGAAGCACACAGATAAATGAAACAAGGCTTTTCTTAACACCAGTTTTCCACTCCCATTCGGGTTTCCCTGTCTGCCTTTTCTGTTCGCAGCTCCTTGTTGCCCAAGTGACTTCAGAGCCGTGTTCATATCAAGCGACACGGTGCGGGTCACCTGGGCTCCTGTGCGAGGCGCCGATCTGTACGAGACCCGAGCAGCTGGCGGCAGCGGTGTGGTGTTCTGCAGGGACACGGCCACGGCCTGCACCCTGTCGGCTCTGCAGTGCAGCACCCGCTACAACATCACCGTGTACTCCTTCAGCGAGGCCCGGGGCTGCAACACCTCGTGTGCGCCTCAGTACGTGGCAACAGGTAGTGAGAGCGCTCATTTTCCTTTAGCCGAAGAAATCATTATTAGACACCACAGTGATTCATGGATGAAAAACATTACTGGAGTGCTAAGTTGCTGTTTAACCGTTTTACTAAGTTTACTGATAAAAATTTTTTAAAACCCACCAGCAACTCCAAAACTAAAAGTCCTTAAGAATGCACTATAAGAAGAGGAACTTATATCAAATTTGTATTGAAAGTTTCTGATAGCTCCAGGATTTTGAAAATCAGAATTACAATTTATACACAAAATCCTTATGTTGTCAGTTGTCACAATTTCTAAATTCTCACCAGGAGTAAAGCATATAAAGATCATAAACTTTTCTGAAGTAATTTGTCAGTTCGAACTGTAATTTAATTTTCCCATGTAACTTATATAGTATGCATAAACAATCTGTTTAAATACTATTAATATTAAATATTTCAGCTCCCTGCAGTCCTGAAATAAAAAATATCTCAAAGGAGGGTCTGTCTGTAATCAGTGTGTGGTGGCAACCTAACAATGAAGAAGCTACGTATGTTGTCACTGCCAGAGGAGAGGCTGGACTTTGGCACTGCACAAGCACCAGGAATTCCTGTACCCTAATGCATCTTCCCTGTGGATCTGCTTTCTCCGTAAGTGCTGTAGCAAGATCACCAGCAGGACAGAGCTTACCAAGCTACAGTATCCCTTTAGAGACAGGTATGGGGAAATGTATATAGTTCAACATACTTAGCAGCATAATATTAAAATAGTTCTATAACTCTATGGTTTTGGCTATTTTTTATTTACAATATATGCACATTGTACTATGTATTGCTAGATGTCCTTTTTGTAAACCTGTCTGTATCTTTGTGTGTGACAAGGAAGGGTCATTTGGCAGTTGCCTCAGACTGAGGTCTTAGAGGAACCAATTATCTTCTGGCACAGCTAAATAAACTGTAATAACATAAGCCACTAATGCAATGCATAACTTCCTTGTCAGCATTTTGATATTTAGTATTACCAGGAGAGGCAATGAGGTAATGTCCATGTCAACAAATAAGCAGTTGTAAAGAACAGATTAAAGAACATCCTACCCACTATTCCTGCTACTAATTTGCTAACAGGTTTTGTCCTCTACCACCTCTCCAGACAGAGATTAATATACCCCAGGATCTATTTTTAATAGGCAGTTTGGCTGCAGTCATTTTACATTGTAGAGGAAGAGACTTTAAACAGAGACAGAGCTGGACTGAGATATATGACTTGAGGGGTAGAGACAGACCCAGTTTAATTAAAGTACTGAGATATACTCTGATATTCTGATGAAAACTCTTAGTAATTTTTAGAATCTTGGTGAACAATCATTTTATGGTAATTCCAGGGCTCTAACCCACAGTTAGAGACAAATTGATCTTACATTGACATTCCGTTTATTAGAGGCTTGCCAGCAGAGTCGACTATTTTTTAGCACGCCTGAAAAATATGCACTTCATTCCTTTGATCTTGATTGTGTACTATTCTACCTGCAACCCTCCAAATACCTTCCACTTTCCAGGTACAAAACAGAATTCACTCTTCTGTTTTTTGTTCTCTTTCAGCTCCTTGTTGCCCTAATGACCTGATACTAACTCAAGTGACACAGTCGGTAACCAATATCAGCTGGTCTGTTGGGAGGGGTGCACAGACATATGTAACAACACTGGAGTCTCCAAAAGGACAGGCCAAGTGTCACACACTCCAGACCTACTGTCTCCTGGGATGTATTACATGTGGCACCAACTACACGGTGTCTCTGAGAGCCATTAGTGAGACGGGTTTGACATCCAGCTGCACCTATCAGGGATATTCTTCAAGTATGTAAAGTGTAGCTGAAATTGGGAAGAAAAACACTTAATAGACAATGTAATTTGTGTGGTGTTCCTCTCATAAAAATAGCACAGCTGAAATTCAACACACAGCTAATACACCTGCAGTTCCCTCTTTAAATAATTGCACTTCAGATTATTTTCATATAAGCAAGACCTGTTCTTATGACAGTCATCAGTTGGCCATATAAAGATAGTCTAATAATATTGCTCCAGAAACAGTTTTTAAATTTAAATTATGCTATGGCATAATTAAAGTTTAGAGAACTCAAAAGGATTCTGGGCATTCTCAGGTAGGCCTTATGCCAGGTGAGAGCAATAACATTCCAACATCTAAAACAATGACTGAACTCCAGCTCCATAAAACGACTCTAATAAAACTTTTCTAGTTCAGTTCAAGAATTATTTTGGCTTTGTGAAAGAATAATTTTCTCTTTGAAACATTGGTTAACATAGTAATCTGGTTTGACTGCACTCCAGAAATTTATAACACATTGTGAGTTCACAAAATTTGCTCATTAATGTTTCTTACTTTCTTAGGTGCTTGCTGCCCTTCTGGGGTGAAGCTCTACAGACTCGGCAACAATGGCATTAGGGTGTTCTGGCAAGTTTCTGATGAAATGATAAACTACAATGCTGATTTACATGGCTCAAAGGGCAATTTCAGCTGTACCCCCAGCTCAGGTCTGAGTCACTGTGATATCACCAAGATACCTTGTGGGGATGTCTACACTGTGGTGGTTGCTCCAGTGACAGACAAGGAGCCAAAGCTCACATTTTGTCCTAAGAAAATATATTCAGGTAGAATTTAAATTTCTTTGGTTTTTTGGGTTTTTTTAGGGGTTTTTTGGTGTTTTTTTTTTGTTGTTTGTTTGGTTTTTTTGGGTTTTTTTTGCATGCTAGATGGCTACAGTGTAATCCAAAATTATGCAGGTGAAGGTGGCATGGAATAGAACTTTTCTTCTCTAGTGTTGACTGCAGAGTAAACTTTATGAGTGCAGTCTTACAATATCTGATGGGAATTTCGCAGCAGCATTTTGGGTCTGGGCATACTTATCTACACAGGTGCCTCTTAACTGGATCACCCATATCCTGGTGAATATAGAAAACTTAATGTTCAGTTGGGAGGTTAGGAATGGTTAGAATATAGAAGCAAATAAATTAGCATTTTTTGTTTTATGCATTTTTTAAATAATGAAACAAATCAGTAATTGCAATGAATACTCCTAATCACATTTTTAAAGTAAAAATTGTTTAAAGGGGAAGAAATTACTTTGCCTTTCCCAAGGCATGGATTTAATAAATTATAAAACTACTGCTATCTGATGGGATTGCATAGTAGTATAAGTGCAGACTAATAATATTTTGCAGCTTACAACCTGACATCTAACACTTGTACCACTGTTTCATGTCATTTCAGTCACCTGTTCTGGAAGTTCTCTTGGAATGGGTAAGAGCAATATATTCATTAAAAATTCATGAAGTTTATAGAATATTTTTGCATCATCTTCAAATAAGATGTATATAACATATAGATTTGAAAGTGAAGGCTTCTAGTAGTATTATACAGGTTTACCTCATCTCCTTCCCCATTTTATAATGTATAATTTTAAAAAAACCCCAAAACCTTACCTATATTGTGGCTGGCATACTATCATGCATGGTCACAACACTTACTACTAATTTCATAGTACATAATAAAAGGCAGGATTATCTTTCATAGCCTTCCTGCATCCCAGTAAAAATAAAACTAAGGTGGCACTTCCGCTTTCTATTTGCACAAAGGTTAAAAAAAAAAAGAAAAAAGTGTGGCTTACCTTAATCTATTCTACCTTATTTCTTCTGGGTTTCAGCAGGATAGTGTTTTATTTGCCTATGTAAACTGCTAGAAACAAATTCAAAAGCAGCTACTAAAATAAAAATTTCTCAAGACAGTTGCTTTTCCATAACTGGAATTGTCTTAATTTCTGAATTCTTTTATAGTTATTTATAGAGGAAAGAGCAATGCAAAATACGTCTAGATGAAATTCTGGTTCAGGTAAGGAGGTAAGTTATAAGAATTGCAATTCGTATTAGAATGTATGAACCCAACTTTTCCTGCTGATTATATCTTTGGGATTGGAGGGAAATGTTTCACCACTCCTGTATATCATAAGTGGTTTGTTAAAATCCATCACATTTACCTCAGAAATCTCTTGTAATTTATTTCTACTAGCACTACTGATTTGTCCTCTCCTCCATTTATAACAACCTTCTTTAACTTCATGAAGCCTTCACTTCACTATGCTATAATTCCCCAGAAAAGCCCTTAAAATCCAAAGAGATAAAAATATTCTTCAGCACTCATTTACTTTCTCCTGATGCTCTGGACTATTTTCTGCTCCTGTCTCAGTGGATTGACAAGAAATTGCTGTTTTTTCCCCTAAGGTTGATGTAAGATTTTTTGCTGCTGTTCACCTACTGCTATCCTGGATGTTAAGATTGTTCATAACACCATTCTCCCTAATTGTTATTTTCAGTCCTTTTTCCCCTGAAGCTGGAAAGACACGTCTGTGCTTAAGTGCAACATTCACAGCTGCTTGAGGACTGGGAGTAGGAAAGTTGAACACATAGCCATACCTGAGACCTAATCCAGGCAGGACCTTCTCATACTCCACAGTGGTTACTTTTTCAGCCGACTTTGAAACCAAAGTTGAAGGTCAATGATTCTACAAACACGTGTGTCATCTAACAGTCTTTGGAAGCCTATGTATACAAAGGTATCCAAAGACAACAGGGTTTCTAGCACTATTTTCAGCTTATAAAAACAGACACTGTCCATTCTGGCAATTTCCTTTCTTCAGAGAACACATTGGGCGTTAAGTATCTCAGCCAATGCTTCTGATCACTTCTGCAAAATCTCAAAGGAATCTCACACTTCAGTAAGTTGTTTGTAGATAGCCCAAGAATTGTATGCTGCTTCTTAAAACATGATCTGCAAGTCTTTCTTTAGGAAACACATTTAAAAGTGCTTTGCATTAGTTAGCAGAAATTTGGCTTTATTTCTCACTTAATAAAAAAATTAAACAGCCTTCTTTTTTGAGGGTTCTATGTCAATATTTCTTCTTTGCAGACATCATTGCCAAACACTGTCACCACAGTTAAGTATTTAACTGGGCCTTTAGAGATCTAAAGCAATTAGCTCTTTTTGGAACCAAATTCAAGTCCCAAACTACTTCTTTTCACCTAAGCAATTCTGACAATTCCATGCTCTAATAGTAACTTTAATGTGCTTTAAGGCATTCTAGATTATTGGTTATGTTTTCTTAATTCTCCCTAGTATACACACCTTAACCCCTCAATTACACACTAGAAACAACGTTGTAGTACTGTTTTCATTTGCTCCTCTCTCTTTTGTCACTAAGTGTAATTGTATCAGAATGTATTATTTGTATGTCTGTTCGGGGGAAAAAAGGCAAAAAGCTGAAGAGTCATGATTTCAAGAAAAAAACACTTTGCTTCAGCTCTAAAAAACTGGGCAGCAGATATATACAATTAGCAAAAGACGGAAGAAAAGCAACACTGACTGAGCCAGATACACACCTCCTACTCTGGCAGTGTGTAACCTTAAGGTGTTGTTATTCAGGCATTACACACTGTCTAATAACTGCCTAACAGTTAACATTGCTGATACATTAAACAGCACTGGAATTCACTAAGCTGATTTTAAAATTTGGTCAGGATTGGTTGCAGGTTCTCTCCAGACTGAGGTAAACACGCTTTTATGGGTCATGCTAGCTTCAGATCACAGGAAAGGGCCAATTAGTTGTCATGTATTTGTAGATACTGCTCCTGTACTATTTACTTGAATAAAGCTCTGGACTTCATGAAACAAAAAAACCCAAAAACAAAACAAAAACAAACAAAAAACCAAAAAAAACCCCACCAAAACCCCAAGCAATAAAATTATCAACTGAACAAACAACAACGATCCTACCAAAAAGCCCAAAACAATGCAACCCCACTCCACTGTGTCTTGAAAGAAGACTTGAGAACCAAGAAAATTCCTGTTGAATACTTGGAGGCAGGCAGCATATGGATATGCTAAAATGGATGCTTTCCAAGCAGTAGCTGTGAAATCATGTGGACTAACAAATTAGGTAATTAAAACCACCTAGGTTATTTCACAGTAGACTACTTCATTAATGCTTACTTAATAAAAAAATTTAAATTCAATGCATAATAGTTAAGATGTATTAGTTGGAATTACACAAACACTTGCAAAAAAATTTGTATATATTATTTAAAATACACATTGTTTTAAATTTCATTTGACACAGAATAATAGCTCAAACCTTAGATTCAATCCACTAAAGGAACTTGCAAAAATCTACCCTTCAGCTGATGTCAGACTCTACCCAAATTTACTGAGATTTAGTGTTCTACTGCTTTTAACTATTGCTGGTGAAAAGTAAAAGAGATACAATGACAACCTCATTGCAAAACATCAAAATTAGCACTTAAATGCTGTTTTACCCTGCTTAATAGCTGGTGGTCATCCATACTTAAAGCTACATGTGCTTCACAGTGGGGCAAAGGGCTCAAAGATCTAAAGCCAGCAGAATTCATCAAATTCCTTCAGGTTCCTCTAAAGAGGGGAACTTGTATGCTGTAGGAGGCTACTAATATTACTATTCCAGTACTTAGCATTGGAGCCACAGGTAATTTCCAAGACAGATGAGGCTTCACAAGGATATCTATCCTAGGCTATTATGGGCATGTGGCAGACTATGGAAGCTTCAGGTTCATAGTGCTTCGGTCATGGTCATTTACCCTGAGAACTGAAGAGTGCACACTGTGAGACAACAGCTCTGCAACCAGAGCTCCTCCAGCTAAAACTGGCAGAAATTTTCTTCTAAAGCCCCTGAGGTGAATGTCCAATGCAGCTGTACTGCACTGCAACAACTGCACCAGAGTGGCAGCACTGGTGCCTCCACTAGCTCACCCGGGCTCATCACAGTTGCTTTTACAGCCCTGCAGTTCCTTCTGCTTTTTAAGGAAGGGCACATGAAATAATAAAATGGCATCAGAAAGACAAAAAGGAATTAAGAGACCCTGGATACAAACTGAAGAGCTGCATGACAGTAAATCCCAAGGTGTCTTGATTCAAGTAATTTTCACAGGTCTTGGTTGGCAGTGAATATTGTGCTGCCCATTACACTGCCAACTCAAGTACATAATATTGATAAGATTAAATTCACAGGTCAGAAAAGACTACTTATAAAATAGGAAAATAAAAACACAGTCCTGAAATTACTGCACTTGTAGAGATCCTGGATGAGCCAGTCTTTGCACAAACTAATATCAAATATTCACCATCTTTGTTGCAGTGAGACAGTGCTTGTCCACGTTCAGGTCAAACATTGTCTCTCAAATACCTGTATTTTTTCCTGCAAATAAACCATTCTTTCATTGTATTGCCCAACAGTCTCGGAAGAGGAAGATCCCTGAAGGAACAACTGGAAATCAGTTATCCATTTTCCCTGACAAAACACTGGTTCTGCAGCCTCTCTGCTGAAGAACATACTTGTTTCAGAAACTGAAGGTTGAAAACAAGGCCAAAAGAAGCCCTCTAGACACAAGATAAATTAAGGTTGCCCTTTCTGGACAGAATCCATGCAATCCCTCGGCAGTCTGCAGAGCATGTTCTAGTTATCTACTAGACAGAGTATTTTTTTTCTTCTCCAATCTTAAATGAAAGCTCAGTATTTTAGCTTTACACTGCAAGGGAATTAATTTGTTGAAGCTTACGTTTTGTTTCAAGTTCAGACTTAACATCAGGTAACACAAATATAAGCAGACAATCTTAACAACATCAGTACTAAAAAATGTTGATTACTAAGGATCATGGTGATAAAGACCATTACAGTTCAGAAAACGAGAAAAGCAGGGAGGAAGAAAAAACCTTTTCTTCTTGGAATACTATGGAATGGAGTATACTGTTGCAAACACTGTTTTCCTTGGATGTTTAAAACAAAATATGCCTAAATGCCCTGCATCACACAGAAACAAAAAAAAAAAGGCACAAATACTGTATTTCTACCCTCAGGTTACTTCATGATTGATTCCCACTTCACATTCTTCCTATCTTGGGGCTGTGGCATTTGTTTGCTACATCTTTGTTGTAAGTTACTTATTACATAAAATCCCTTATTCATACAGTGTCACTTGATCTGAAAATAAAATGTGGAGGAACTGAAGCATTCTTTAACTGGCAATGAATGTGCAGGGAAAATCTGACACTCAATACAAAGGAATTAATTGAGAGTTTATTCCAGATGGTTCTCCTCACTTAGTATACAAGTCATCAGAGTAATCTATGAAATAGACTTGGACTTTAGTGATATGATCTTTTTCTATAATGCATTTTGGTTTTTGCTTCTAACAACCTGTTTAAAAAAAAATCTGCCAGATGAAATGTTCAGCACAAACTGTGATCTTTACTATTTGTAGAAAATATGAATTAAAAAAGGACACTATCATTTAATTCTTATTTTAAATGTTTACACTTATAAAATGCTTTGGAAGCTTGAAACTGAAATCCTTTGTGATATTTTTCTTCTTCCTACCTCCCTCTTCCCATCTTAAATGCCTTTATTAGCCCAGGATTATCATAAATGACAGAGTGCAGCTGCTTAAAAACATTAAAGGACCACAAATTGATAAACTGTGTTTTTTAAAAAAAAGGAAGCTTACATGGATTTTCTTCAAACAAATAAAATGCATAGATGGCTATGGTACTCATCCATCAATCTTTACAGTGTCCGCTTGAGGTAGCCTTTCTACAGAATTACTAGACAAGCCCCAACATAATCTAAATCCTTGCATCAAAACCACTATCTCTGAAAGTCCACTCAATTTAACACTGGTGATCAACATAATACATTTTAAAAGCTTTGGACAAAACAGCAGGTACAGTGGACATAAATGTTAGTTCTAAATCTGCAGCCCTCAATGTACATTGTATGCACATAAATATCTCAGCTATAATAGACATTCCAGATCCATCCCTAAAAGCCATACTATTATGGAAAGCATAGCCGTGCTAACTTCAGGATACAAACCATAATTCCACGTCTACAAAAGGAAAGTATAATTAGTGGCAGTTTATTGCCTCATACAAATTTATCCAACATGGCAACCATGCCAAAGGAATTAAAACATTTTCAGGACATATGTACAGACTGTACATTTCAGAAACATCTGAACAATAAAAATGCAAGAACAATCTCGGCATTACAAATTAAACTAAACAAATGGTTTGAAACCGTCAATGCATTGAATGAGTTTACAAAGGCACTTCCCTACCGAAAATAGGAAATGACAATCTGCAGCCTAGTGGGAGGTTGGAGAAGAGTGCTCATCAACTACTGCACAATCTCAACTTTAAGAAAAAATAAGCAGGATTTAATCAAACATTTATAGGATTCAATGTGATCCACTTCTGAAAGAATTCACACAGTCTCATCTTTGTTTTTCTGTTGCTTTTCTTGGCTCTCTCGTTCTGTACTTTGGCTCCTTCGACGATCATGTTTGTCAGAATGGTCCTTGCTATCACTGTGATCATGTTTGTGGGAACGTTCTTTGCTTCTGCTACGCTTCCTAGATTTTTCTTTGTTGGGACTCTGATCTCGTTTTCTGGACTTCTCAACACTATCTGTTCTTCCTCTACTTCTGCTTCTACTTCGTTTATTTGACTTCTCCTTATTTTCATTTTTATGTTTACTTGATTTTTCTTTGCTCCTGCTTCTGCTGCGCTTACCTGTGTTCCTGCTTCGGCTCCTACTCCTATGCTTTCTTTCCCGGCTCCGACTTCTACTATGCTTTCTCTCTTTTTTGGAATCCCTCTTGTCGTCGCGGTGTTTCTTCTCATCTTTGTCATCCTTGTGTCTCCTCTCCTCTGTGTCACCCTTACTTTTCCTTTCTTTCGACCTTTCTCTAGATCGATCTTTTTCCCTCTCACTACCTCTTTCCTTATCATAATCTCTCTCCTTTTTCCGACTCCGCTCATTTTCTTTCTCTCGCTCCCTATCCCTGTCTCTTCTATCTCCTTTCCTGTCACGGCTTCGACTCCGGCTTCTGTATCTGTCCCTGCTTCTGCTTCGCCTCCGTTCTAGTGAGCGATCGGTACTTCGAGATCTCCGCCTTTCTTTTTCTCTCTCCTTTGCTTCACGTTCTAATCTCTGCCGTTCTCGTTCTCTTTCTAGTTCTCTATCAAAACTAGATGATCCATGGCCTTCCCGATGGTGACTTCTGCTTCTGGATCTTCTGGGAGACCTCCTGGGACTGATGGATCTTGGTCTTGGAGACCTTTTAAAATAGAAGACATTCCATATGAAACACCTCTTTCAATAGTTAAGAAATCCTCTTTCCAATTTATACTTCACAGACAGAGCTTGTATTTAATCTTAAATACAAAATATCATCTGATTATTTTAATCCACTAGCATCCATAAACTGTTGCCTTAAAACCTATTTCAGTGAAAAGACAATATGTTGCCTGTAATAAGTAGTTCAATATTGAACTTTTAACATTAATTTTTAAAATAATGATTATGTGACCTTGAACGTCTACGTTCTGCATGCCGATCTATTTCTTCCATCCCCTCCTTGCCATCTTTCTTGATTTTTCTAGGTCTGCTTTTAATTTGCTGGTCAATGGCTTTCTGGACTGGCACAGGAATTCTTGGAAACAACGTGGAAAACCATTCAAGCTTAGTGAGGAAGGAACGAAGCATCTCCCCTATGGTCATAACGCAACCCCCACCTGCCTTCACATCCAGGTCCTGCAAAATACAAGCAAAAAATATCCTGATGGTCAAAAATATTCTTTACTGATTTAAAAAAAAATGCTGCTACATTTCTGTCCTATTGAAGTCTCATGATTATGAAAGTTTACTTGTCTCATATTCTAATACATTTCCTTAGAGAAATTCAGCTCTGCACCCTTTGGATTTGGCAGAACGTTACAGATAGGGAATGGGACTTAATATATATGCATGCAGGCACATACTAATCCTGCAGCCATCTGGATGGTAAGGGACTGTCGATGCAGAGATTAACTGAAAATCCCCTTACACAGTCTGGTTATATGGTATGATCTTGCATTGTATTTAAATGCTACAAAGTTGAGAAGTCCTCTGAAACTACATTTAATACTCCATTTTGTGGATATACAACTGTGTGCCATCATACCCAACCCTGTGGCCTAAATCATTTATGAACTATATCATTGCCTATCTAAAAATGATCATAGAAAAACCTCTAGTACAAAATGGCATCCTAACAGAATTGGAAGCAATAGCAAACCAACTGCCATGAAGCAGTGAGGTTTCTAATTTAGAAATATGTAAAAAAAATAAATAAATGAACAAATAATTGGAAACGCATAATCCATGATGACCATTGTCTCTGAAAAGGGTCATTACCGCATGAAGGCCTTCTTGCTATGCCCTCTCACAGCTCAGGACATGTTAGTCAGCTATTGTCAGTCCCAAACCTATAGTGCAAGCACACAAGGAAAGTGAGATTTGTTATCTAAACAGGAAGAGAAAATCTGAACGTAAAACTGCTTGCACTCACACACATTTAAGTGTTCAGATATACAGTTTTTCCAAATATAATCGCTGCAGAGATCTAAAGAAGAAAAAGAGGAGTTAAACGTAGCACCTGGAGAGTACGTACAGTTAAACAAAATAAACATAAGAAGCATTTTGAAAAGTAACTCTGTGTCCTGGGAAGGTTTTCACAGCAGGATGACAAAAGATGAACTGCTTCCACATATTTAAGAACTGGAGGGGGAAAAAAAATCCTGTAGGTTTAAATAATTCCATATATAAAAATTTGCTTCATCCTACTGAGTTTGACCAGGACTGGTAAGAAACTTAAGCAGCCCCAAGCAGTTGTCCTATATAACACAAAGGTATTGATAGCAGCTGGGAAAGAAACACTAATTCCAAAAATATAGGGGAAGATTTTAAGCAACAAGAAATAAACACATCTTGACACCCAGTATCAGCAAGAACTGAAATGTATAAACTGAAAAATATGCTTTGAATAATGAACCAGTTAAGACCTGCACAATACATCATACTTGCAACTGCTTTACTGTCCTTGGAATTGACTTTGTAGGACCCTGAGAATGAAGCCACCCAACACTCCTCATAAATTACAGTCCAACGTTATGGAGGAGAACTCATATTACACTGCTTCAAGTCCAATTTGGTTTCATTTTTGTTAAAAATCTACTATAGCAGGGGTTTACCTGAAATCACCATTTTTTTCCTTTGCTCAGTGTTTTTGATACTTAGCATGAAAGAAGCCATTTAAAACAAATACACTGCAATGCAGTTAGACACAGGTATAATTAACACTATTTTTAATACCAATATTTGGACATAATTTGCAACTACAACATTTAAAATTTCTTCAAGTAGATGCCTACTGTCACACTGAAGATGGCAAGTAATCCTTCCTGTTCTAGTCTGAAATTTAAGATGTCATTTCAAACCTGCTCAATAAATCCTATTTGCAGCAGTATTGCAGACTGTGTATTCAACTTCATAGCCCAAGAAACCTCACCCACCAGCTCCCTACTGTTTCTCCAAACTCTAAATCGGGACTAGGATACCAAAGGCATTCCCCTATCTGACTGCATAATAATGCAACCTCTTCACTGAATTTCTTCAGTTAGCAACTCATCTCTTCATCTGCCCCATTAACAAGGACATTAAGATTCTAGAAATAATGCCACCTGATGTAGTAATAAGTCTTTTTTCTTCTCCTCTGAAGAAATCTTGGGTTCAGTTGTTGCAGAACATGAATAATAACCACTACAAATCTAGCACTTGTATGACTTACTATACCTTACCTAAAAGTAACTGTGATTTTAAAAAACACACAGAAGACACATTCACACAGCCTGCTGTCTGCATTCTGATTCAGTACACCTGTTCCACATGGTTTTGCATATCTGACACAGTAACATATTAACGAATGAAAAAAACCTGGTAGACCTTCAACATCTAAGAGAAAACACCCAGGTCCCAGCTCAAACCTGTTTCCTGCACTAATTAATGTACACAATGTAAACAAGAACATAACATTGGAACATTCAAACTACAGAAAACCCTATCAAGCAATATTTAAGCATAAAGTAGTAACATGAAAAGAAACAAAAGAAAATAAATTATTACCCTCGCCGACATACCTCTTCATCATCAAGAAAGGATTCAAACCAGTCCCATAGATCTGTAGGTGGCTGTGTGTACCTTTAAGCACAAAAACAATATAAAAGTTTAATACAGCTTTCTGCATATTAGATCAGTCATCAGTTGATGATATTGATACTTACCTAATATACATAAATCCAAGAGCCCTAATGTATGGGGAGTCTGTATGAGTGATAAGGCCCATCACTTGTTTACGAGTGAGCTTCAGTGTAAATAATTTGTAGAGCAGACAAAAAGCAGTAGACACAATTCCTCCAGTTCCAACACCACGCACCTTTCAAAAGCAGAAAGTTAAGTGAGGATG